CCCCCGGCAGCGGTCAACACCCGCTGACCAACCTCGGGCGCCGGTGCTGCCGCCGCCGCCCGAGCCGCCCCTGCCCCGCCGTCGACAGCATCGGGGGTATACACCATCCGCTTGCTCTTGGCGAATAACTGCAGTAGGCGTTCGCGCTTGTCCACCACCTTGCCAGACGTGGGCAGGCCCATGGATTTCAGGTACTCGTTCGCCAGCACGTCCGTGATTTTGTCGATGTCGGAGCGCTCCAAGGGCGTCCCCGACTCGACTCGGGCCTTAGCAGCGTCCACATCCCCACGTTTACGCCTCTTCGTACTTCGCACGCTCGTACTGGAGTTGGCCTCGTTCAAGCTTGCAGATGCCGAGGCCAACGAGGTAGCGAGGTTGCTAGACGCCCTTTCCTTCGACATTTTCTCGGCCTGCCTCACTGAAGTAGGCCCGCGCAACCTCCCCTGCCCTGTACCAGGTGAAAACGCCTGCACGAAGTACTGCGTGTTGAACTTGTCGACCGCCTTAGGGACAACCTTGCTGGGACTTACACCCTCTCCAATGGTTTCAGCCACCGCCTGAGACCAGCAAGCCACCTCTGCTTCGGTTTGAGGAGTGAAGCACCGCTGCCCCTCGACGGTATTCTTTCGCATAGGTCTTCTCCTTGCCCCGCCCAGATTTTCCGAAGCTCTTCCGGTGGCGCCCTCTCCGGCGGCGCCGTGCTCGGCCGTATCACTGCTCGCCCGACCACCATCAGCACTACCTGCCCCAGACTCCTGAGCTCCAATCCCAGCACCACTCGCTCGAGCACCCGCAGCAATACCCGCCCCAGACCCCTGAGCTCCAACCCCAGCGATCGAAGCACCGCTCGTCCGCCCAGCACCACTCGCCCGAGAACCTGCAGCACTACCCGCCCCGGAATCCTGACCGTGAACCCCAGAGGCGCCAGCTCCACTCCCTTCACCACCTCCCGCATCTCTCCCCCCCTGAACCGCTGTTTCTGGTACCGTGGCCAACCGCAGAGGTGGACTGTTCACACCAGATTCCGGCACCGGTGCCCCACTGCCGACTCCGACCATGTGCATGGCAGCTTGTCGGCAGGCTCCCAAGCGGTCTTCCCTCAGACGTTTGGCGTACTCAAAACCCATCGGCTCGGCGTCCAAGTCCTCTTGCTGCACCTGGAATAAACGTGCATGTCACGTAAGCGAACAAAGACGAACACCAGCGGCCACATATGAGGAATTGGAACAATAGCTCGGAGGGAAGCGTATGTTGAACGTGCACGAGGCCGTGATGAACGACCGACAATTCTTTTATGCGAGGACATCCGGAAGGAAGCAACTTTCAACTGCCGCTTATTCCGCGCGGCCGGGAAAACACGCGGATACAACCAGATATGAAGTCGGTGTGCATCTACGTCATTGGGTCTCACATCCGGGCGGGGCCCCGCTTTCGGGAAAGGTTCGGCGACGAGGCACTTTCTCGCTGCGTCGTTGATGTCCCGCTCCCTCCAAACCCACAAAGTGGAGTGCTTGCTTGCACGGCCGAGCTTGCGGTCTTTGTCGAGGTTGAAGCGGTGAACGAGTTGCAGCAGTCGCTGATCGCAGACGCCCGGCCCGAGCCGAGAAACGCTCGAAGTCATTGCGTTCAGGCTACGGTGGAACGACTCGTTCTTGGCAGTGCCTCCTTTCTTGACGTACCGCTTGAGCTTCGTCTTCTTCCCCGTGCCAACGTGGAGGTACCTTCGTGTCGACAGAGGGACACAGGAACGGGTCGTTGTTCTTTTGAGTAGCGATCAGGCTTCATAGCATAAACAAGAAAAACCGAACGACCAGAAAAACATGGTAGGCAACCGCGTGGGTCGGGATAAAAAAACATCGTCAAACAGTTGCAGTTACCCTTTGGAAATAAAACGCCACGACAACCACTTACATTTTATCCACGGGCAACGGGTCTTGCCCGCATCCCTTTCGGAGGCAAGAGATGAGGCTATTCAGCTCTGCCTGTGCGCCACGCGGTCCTCTCTTCCCCGGCGGCAACTCGGGTTGCAGCAGCGGCAGCTCGCCCCTCT